TATATATATATATATATGTGTGTGTGTGTGTGTGTGTGTGTATGGTGGGGCCTTCAAACTGGCATTCCTCGTTGTTGCCTCTCTTCACATTCGCTCCCTTTGGCGCGGTGCCTCGCTTATATTATCTTCGCCGCAGCGGCGGCATGCTGCCACCTCGAGAGGGACGGAAGAAGCCGCCATAACAGTAAACACAATACGGAAACCATAACCCTGGCTCTATGCAGCCCCCTCAGGAGGAGGGGTGGAAAGATGTAAAACGAGCAAGGAGATGGGAAAGCGTGCATTATGAATGAATGAGAAACATAACGCTATTCGCCATTCCCCATATCACCTTGTTTTCTATTCAATGTGCGGGTGTGTGGCCATACGCAGGCGTTGTCCGTGGCCCCGAACGTGTCGTCGCCTCAGCGTTACTTCCTCTTTGGGGCCTTGCGCTTTAGTGTCACCTTTTTCCGCTTCATAGTCGTGCTGACCCTGGTGCTCTTCGTCTTCTTCTGTTTCTTGTCGGTGCTCTTCTTGAGACGAAGCTTCTTTGCAGCCTTCAGCTCCCGTAGATCTGTCTGCTTCTTCTGCATGTCGTGCCACATCCTAGCAATGATGCGCTGGCGCTGGATGTTGTTGAGGTGTGTAAAGCGGAACGCCTGTTGGCGCTGGAAGCGGTTAAAGGCGTCGAGTGCGGGGTACCGCGCTTTAGACGCACGCTTCTGGAGTGCCTGCAGCTCCTCTGGGCGGAGGCCGCGGTACATGCGGGAGGCGACCTTCGCACCCTCCTGCAGCGGCATCCCGCTGAGCTCCTTCGTCTTCGCCAGGTCCTTGAGGAAGAGAGAGTACGGACTCACCCGCAGCGTCGTCGTGGTGCGTCGAAGCATCGGCTCTTCTCTGCTCTTCTCCTCTCGGTGTTGCTGTCGCTGTTGCCTTTCGCTGTCCTGTGATCACGGCCCGGCCAACACGAAGGCAAAAAAAAAAGGGGGGAAAGAAAAGGGAGACGTGCAAAGCAGCAGAATCAAAATCGCACAGCAGCGCACGATAGTGCCCGGCACTTCCGCCATCCAACATCGCCCCCCCTAAGCCTATCTACATCCCGCTCAACGGGTGCGTCTGCGCGTGTCCCTCGCTCTCTCTCTCACACACACACACACACTCTCTCTCTGTGTGTGTGGGAGTGTATCTTCACTTCTTCCGCTTCTTCTTCTCGAGTCGGCGTTTGATCTCCGGCACGGCGTCCGTTGGCGCCTCCGGCAGCTCCATCTTTGGCAACTTGGGCGCCTCGTGGCACAACATCCGTGTGTGCTCCAGGTCGTCCTGGATGGACATCAGGTGCGACAGCACGTCGCACTGCGCGGTGCCGAGGAGTCCGCCCGTGCAGATGTATTTTCCCCCGGCGCCAACGGCGAGGTGCGCCACAAACGCGGCGTTCCCCCCCAAGTCGTGCGTCGCAAAGCTGACGCAGCGGCCCTCGTGCTGCCACACACGACGCGCGATATCGTACACGTCTGACAACGTGCCCGCACCGCTGGGCTCGACAACAACGTTGGATGTCCACAGCTCGCTGAGGCCCTGCTCCACCCGCCCGTAGCCGCTGTGCAGGTAGAGCTCGCGCCCGGACACCGTCAGAGCAGCGCCCATGCGTGACTGCAGGCGGCGCAGACCCGCAGCGTCCCGGTCGCAGTGTGTGTCCTCCACGTACACCACGAAGTCTGTGCGCTGCTGCAGCTGCTCCCGCACGTACTCTGCCACCTGGGACCCGGAAACGTCCACATCACCGGGAAAGAGCGCGTACATGACATCGGACGGCTCCTTGTTGTCCTTTCCGGACGCAGGCACCACCGCCGCAGCGAGACGCAGTCCAACGCACACGTCCTCTACGGGCGTGAGGCCCACTGCCCGCACTGCCTCTTCCGCCAAACTCACAGCCTCTGCCAAACTCTCAAAGCCGTCAAATGCGAGGGAGCCGTCGCCACGCGTTGCAGCACCGTGCACTCGGCTAAAGTGACGAAACGCAGCGAAAATCTTCTGGATGATGCCTCTATTAATCACGCCTTCCGGCATTGCTGGAATCAGAAAGACATCCCGCACCGCCACACGAGCTGATGACAGGTTTTCAGGACCAAAAAAGCTAATGCACAACTGCGGCATCGCGAAAGACTCCACGTCATCGGACGGCGCAATCGATTTACGCAGGTACTGAAACAACGGCAGAGAGGAGCAACGTGCTGCTGCGCTCGCCGCTGCGACGCTTAGGGCGTGCACCACGGAAAGCCCCACGCATGCACTGTTTTCCGCAGAGGCGTGCACGTGGTGCAGGATCTCGTCGAACCGTTTCTGATCGCACGCACCGCACTTGAGGAGTTGCGGAATATAATTCTGCCTGATCAAATCCGCAACGGCGGTGGTGGAATCGGTGTTCTCATCCGCCGTGCTGCTGCCCTCTCCGTGGCAGGGCTGCAGCAACGCCGTTGACTCCGCCTCCATGCCGTTAAGAAGATGCAGCGAGAACTGCAGCGCATGCGTGCCGCCGGGGAGGTACAACGTGTACGTCAAGATGCTGCGAATCTCGTCGCCGGTGCACATCTTCGTGAAGTACGCCGCGAGGTACTCCACCGGTCGCGCCGCACGCACATCGACGCACGAGCGCGCCGCCAGCGTGAGGGCGTCAGAGAGCTTGTGCTGGGCGTCGTACCGCTTCCACGAGAGCGACTCCATTCACTGGCCCTTTGTGTGTGTGTGTGTGTGT